AACTCCGAAGGTCGGGGAAATGTGGAGAGCCATGAACGCCCACGAATTGAAGGGACGCGTCTTATAGAAGAAGAAGAAGAAGAAGAAGAAGAAGAAGAAGAAGAAGAAGAAGCTTTTGTAAGTGGTTGGCAGAGCAGAGATTAGGACTGATAACCAAAAAGACGAACATTGCTAGAGCGACACATGTCGGGGAAATGCGGAGAGCCATGAGCGCCCACGTCCTGAATGGACGCGTCTTATAGAAGAAGAAGAAGAAAAAAAGATGAAGAAGCTTTTGCAAATGGTTGGCAGAGCAGGGATTAGAATTGATAACCAAAAGACGAACATTGCTAGAGCTACAAAGGTCGGGAAAATGTGGAGAGCCATGAACGCCCACGTCCTGAAGGCTTATAGAAGAAGAAGAAGAAGAAGCTTTTGCAAATGGTTGGAAGGACGGGGATTAGGGCTGATAACCAAAAAAACCAACATTACTAAGCTACAAAGGGCAAGAATATGTGGAGAGCCATGAGCGCCCACGTCCTAAAGGGACACGGCGCATAGAAGAAGACAAAAAAGGGAGCTTCTGTACATGGTTGGCAGAACAAGGATTAGGATATACAGTAAGAAACCAACTTTCTAAGAGTTATAAAAGACAGGAAATTGTGGAGAGCCATGATTTCCTACGTCCTGAAGGGACATGGCACACAGAAGAAGATGGATCAGAATAAAACAACCTTTTGTAGATGGTTCCTCAGAACAGGAATTTGGAGATATAGCAAAAAGACAACATTTTCTAAAAGAGTTGCAGAACAGAGGACATCGAGGAGAGTCGTAATCGTCCACGCACTGAATGGACATAACACGTAGAAGAAAAAGAAAACAACTCATACAGGTCCATCAATAACTGTACGGCTTAATGAAGACGTACAGTGCGCAGATATAAAATGTTTCTTTTTTTTTCAGGAGCAGCCGTTGATGGCGGATGGCGTCATTAAGGCGATCTAGTAAGACTTTTATACTTTCATTCACACGCATACAAATATGTCGGTGCAATAGTGCAATAAAAAAAAAATAGTATTTATTTATAAGTTTTTAATGTGTGTCCATGTCGAGCAACAAAACGCGTTATTTCCTCTGCTCATCGAAATGCGTAGAAAAGAGAGACGCAATGCATCATGGGATGGAGACAAGATGTCGTCTGAAAGTCAGGGGGATGCTATAACGCTAGCGAGCTGGTAAATCCGGCCGCTCGGATCGATAGAGGCCAGCCAAAAATATCCCCCGTTTCTCGATATTCTAAGAAGACACAACATTAATTCTTTTTTATTTTATTTTATTTCATTTTATCTTTTATTCTATTGTTCTTTTCGTCCATTTTGTTTTCTTCTATATTTGACGCCTCTTTATGTCCAGTTAAATCACTTTTACTGACGTCAGCAATAAGCCGAACGAAGGGCGGTTAAATACACACACACACACACACACACACACACACACACACACACACACACACACACACACACACACACACACACATATATATATATATCCGCGCACGCGCGTAGCATTTATAGAGAAACGGACTGGGACGTAGTCACACGGAGACTTTCATGTCTATGAAATCGATATGACTGTTTTGTCCTGTTTTCTCTCCCTAGCAGTGAGTAAATGTAGGAAATTTGAATCCGAAACATTGTTTATTACAAGTCAGCATTGACGGTGCGTACCAAGCCAGATTGGAGGGTCCCGGGCAGTGCTTTGTGACCCTCGCTATTTATCAAAATTTGCTTTTTTTTTTCTACCTACGTTTTCTATATGTTACAAGTTAATCTAAGCACAACTGACAATTTAAAAGATGAAACATTTTCGTGGATTTTGACATAATTAAAGGACCTTAATTTTTTTTTCTCGTCCAAATTTAAAGGCTAAATCTCGAAAAATTACGATATAAATTCATCATTTTTTTTTATCCATAAATATTCCATAAATAAGTAAATATTCCATAAATAAATAAATATTCTATAAATAAATAAATATTCCATAAATAAATAAATATTCCATAAATAAGCAAATATTCCATAAATAAATAAATATTCCATAAATAAATATTCCATAAATAATTAAACATTCCATAAATAAATAAATATTCCATAAATAAATAAATATTCCATAAATAAATATTCCATAAATAAATAAATATTCCATAAATAAATATTCCATAAATAGGTAAATATTCCATAAATAAATAATTATTCAATAAATAAATAAATATTCCATAAATAAATAAATATTCCACAAATAAGTAAATATTTCATAAATAAATAATTATTCAATAAATAAATAAATATTCCATAAATAAATAAATATTCCATAAATAAATATTCCATGAATAAATAAATATTCCATAAATAAATAAATATTCCATAAATAAGTAAATATTCCATAAATAAATAAATATTCCATAAATAAATTCCTTATTTTTTTTATCCATAATGTTTGAATGTGTTAAAATTATTCTATT